TAGTATATCTACTAGTCCTTGAGGAACTAATGATAGAGTTTTCGATCCAATTAAGAAGAAGGGTAAAGGAAGTGGATATGGAAGATTGAAACCAAAACTTGAGCAAAAAAAAGAAGAGGGCACCATAAAAGACTTTAAAAGCTAGAGCAATGCAACAACATGAGCAACAATCGTTGGGCTCAAGCCTTGAGGTTCAATCTCTAAACAATCAAATTTTAATTTTCCTAGTTTGCTGGTGGTCTTTATATTTTAATTTATTTATTGGTATCGATTTTTTTTCTTTTCCTTTAAATTCATTGATGCAGTTATACGAAGGTTCTAATACTAGCTTTATACAACTATTGACTCAGGCTTCTGCTAACCAGTTCAGAGGTTGCATTGAGAAACAAAGTTCATGCATCACCGAAAGAAATATTTATTTCAATGGTTCAACGAATTATTTTTGTATCCTAATTAGTAATTGAGTTGGGACTGATGTAATTATTTCAACGATGGAGTTATTGGCTCCACGGATAGATTGAAAGGGTCCGAGTATTTGTTTGGTTATAAAAGCTTCTCATTAAGGGTAGAATTGGAAGTTTAAGCTAAATTTTCATTCTTTTCGGAACGGACCAAAAAGGAAATAGGTTCACATAAACTGGAACGGAGGGAGTAGCAAATAACAATTTGATGAGTTAATAAGCATTGATTGTTTTATATTATTTTTTCTTATCTTACAATTCTGCAGTTGTCCATCTCTGTTATACTAATTGGAGTAACTTTTCTAAACAAGCAATAATAATAAATTTTTTTTTCACTTTTTGACATATTTAATTATCATTAAGCACAATAAGATGATTATTTTTTCAAGCTCTTGTCAACTGATTTGGAGATTATTGTTAAACAAAGTTAGTTTCTTCGGAGACATCCGATAAACTTGGAACGATATAAAAAAATTTAGCAAAGTCCTTGCGTAAGAATAACACGCACAAATCGAGAAATGGTCTAAACAATTTCTAGAAAGAATTGTTAAACAAAGTTCTGTCTTCATACCCAAAAAAAAAAAAAAAAAAGATTTATAAGTTAGCATATTTTTCCAAATAAAGATCATTTCTCTGTTTCTGAAACTAGTAAATGTCTGCATCTGGGTTCTAATAAATTCCACAAAAATATAACCAGTGTCATGTAGTTCAGTTTTAGATGTTGTAGATGTCAATCTTGTCCATGAAACCATATTTTAAAACTTACTTATTTCCTGCATAGAATCAAACAAAATTTAAGAAGAAGCCAAATCGGTATACACACCTTAGCAGCAATAGCACGAAGATATTTTGCGCGCTGTGCCCCTGTTGTTGAGCCCCAGTCATCCCGACCTAGCGCTCTCCGAGCAGCTTCCACAGCTATATCCACATCTTCCTCAGTAGCAGCCGGTATATCCCCTGAAAAATTCCAATTTCTCGTTGTTGCAGTAAAATTAAATAAGCAAATGCGTTCTTTTTCTAATAGCTTTAGGGGCAGCGGCAAAGCAAGGAAATTAATAAGGGTATTTAAATTTGGAACGCTCTTTGTTAGTGGTCATGGAAGGGTGTTCAAAATATATTTTTTAATCAATAACACATAATTTTTCGGGCGAAGGGTGTTCAGTTGATCACACCAACATGACTTCGCCCCGAAGTTACACGCAATTCAACATCATACTTAGGGGTGGCAATTTGAGTCCAAACCTATCCAACCTGCCCAGAGATTAATGGGTTGGGCTACAAATATTTTAGCTCATGAGTCAATTTGGGTTGAGCCCAAGTTAACCCATTATTTTTTATAGCTCATTCTGACCTATTAAGCAGCCTAAATATAGGGGGATTTGCATCTATAGCCACTTTTCGTATCACGTTTTAACTTGTGCCCGCTTTGCAAAAAAAATTGCAAGCGTACCCGCTTTTTCGCATAACTTCAGCATACGGGGCTGAAGTAGCAAAGGCAATCACGCAAAACTTCACCATTCTAGTAGACAACCCTGAAGTAGCAAGTGTGCTGAACCAAGCGTGCTGAAGTTTTTGTTTTTGTAACTGGCGAAGTTTTTGTTTTGTAACTGGCGAACTTCAGCTCTAGAACTGAAGTTTGTGTTTGTAACTGGCGAACTTCAGCTCTAGAGCTGAAGTTTTTGTTTTGTAACTGGCGAAACTAGAGCTGAAGTTTTTGTTTTATAACTGGCGAACTTCAGCTCTAGAGCTGAAGTTTTTGTTTTATAACTGGCGAACTTCAGCTCTAGAGCTGAAGTTTTTGTTTTGTAACTGGCTTATGGTTTTCATGCTTCCCAGAGGCTTAAACTAAGCCATCCATCAAAACAGATGATGTTAAGAGATGGCACAAACAAAGGGGTTTTCGTTGTGATTCAAACCAGTTAGTCTCAGCATAAACAGATAAACAATCTGTGCATTTTTTCTATAACGAAAAGTTTTCAACGCACTTATACAGATTTATGATAAGCTGATTTATTTATTCAAACCAGTTAGTTTCAGACTTTCAGTTAGCTGCTGCTTCAACGCACAAGTTAAAAGTTTTTTAAAAAAAATGGGTATAGGTTAAATGGGGGCGACCAAATAGGGCGCCCCGTGCAATTTTTACCCAAATATAACCCATGAAACTCACCAAAACAAAGGGATTTTAACCCAACTAATCTAGAAATTTACTTAGTCGCCCCAATTTTACTTTTTTTATTTTTAATTTTCTGTACCACCCATCCTCTCTACTCCACTCACCAACCCCCCCCCCTCCCCCACAAAAAATTTATTTTACTTTTTTTTTTGTATTTCCAATTTTCTATTTTATTATTTTTTTGCACCGCCCACCACTCTACCACCACACACACACACACACACACCGCAAACCCACTCAAAAATTTTTTTTACTTTTTTTTTTTTGTATTTTCAATTTTTTACTTTTCTATTTTTCTGCACCACTCACTAACCTCTACCCTCCCCCCGCAAATCCCTTCAAAAAAAATTTTTAATTTTTTTTTTGTTTTTGTGCACCACCGTACACTCTACCCCCTCTCCCCGCGCAAACCCCCTAAAATATATATATATATTTTTTTTTTTTACTTTTTTTTTGAAATTTTCAATTTTTTATTTTTTATTTTTTCGTTTTTCTACACCACCCACCCACCCTACCCCTCACCCTTCGCAAAATATTTTTTAACTTACACATTTTAAGGTAAAAGGTTTTTTTATGCAAGATGAGCATGGTTCTAAAACATAGGTCAAGTTGGGCGGGTTGGGTTATGACCTATTGTTTAGCCCAAGTTCACTTTGGGCTGGGTTGGGCAATGACCCAATTATTGACCTAATCCATCTTGACCCGCCTAAATTCAGCCCAACCCGCCCATTCGCCACTGCTGTCAAGAATGTATCTAAGAAGATAGAACTACCCATTATCAACCAAAAAACTTCCACGTGGTTGGTCAAAAATAATACACACAATTCAACAAGGTAGAAAAATATCAAGAAAGACGATGAAAATCAAAGCAAGAACTAAGTATGCAAATCATAATTTGCTGAAACATACCGATAGTTTCTTCAGTAGCCGGACTTATTATAGGTATTCTGTTCTTCTTGACTGGTTCTCTCCATTCACCGTCGATGTACAGCTGTCTGCTGGGAATACGTACGTTTGGAATTGCCATATCTCGATATGATCATTGAAAAAAAGCTGATTCTACTTTACATTACAACAAAAATAGATCAGGGAGTAAGTTGTTATTTATAGAAGCACTCAACTAAGTTCCCAACCACACTGACCAAAAAAAAAAAAAAAGAATTCCCAACCACTTACCAAAAGATGAATGAAAGGTGGAAAAAAAAAAGATAGCTCTAAAGTGGAATTTTTCCTTACAGCCTATAACAGGGCGTGCCCAACATTTTATTTATAAGCGGTATCAATATTTAGAGAAGAGCGGAAAAAAATAATAATATAACATATTACCTAACAAGAAATAGCCTTAGTCAATTGCTTTTGTTGAGTCTTATGTTAGAAGAGGTAATGAGTAGAGTCCGAAACCAAAACGTTGCTATTTTGGACTCAAAACACATAAATAGGTGTAAAAAAAAAAGGTAACAATAATATATATAGCGCCAGAAATAGTGGCGCTATATATTAACGGTAACAGCACCGTTAATATATAGCGCCACTATTTCTGGCGTTATACACTGATAGTGATATAGCGCCAGAAATAGTGGCGTTATATCCTTTTTTTTTCTGACCAGTACAATAATTCAAAATAAAGCGCCAACTTATTTGGCGCTATATATGTAAAAAAAAAAAACTTCCCGGCTCCCCATTTTCTATATAAAGAGGTTAGAATCGCATAGAAATGCATTCAAAATTTTTTTTAACTCTTGACGTCTGTTGTTGTTAAATTCTCCAGCATTTTTTTATAATGTCTGAAGAGCGTAGGATAAGAGTTTCATTATATTGGGGTGGTGAGGTTGTGATGGAGAATAACTCCGTGGGCTACAGTTTACCTGCTAAGTGTCATGTTAAATTGCCACTGACAATGGAGTACGATACATTGATATCGTTGTTATGCAAAAAATGAGTGTGAGGAAACGTTCGGTGATATTTAAAGTAACCGGAAGATATCCTTATTCCGTCACTCCGCAAGGGGTTGCTTTTTACTCGGAGTTTAACATCGACGATGATGAAACTTTGAGTGATTTTTTGAGGACTCCGGACGAATGTCGGGATTTTCTTGTAATCACAATGTTGGAGATGTACGTGAAGGTCGAAGACGTTCCAAAAAATGAGGTTGTGCGTAGTAGAGATAACCCCCAGTCATCGGGGGGTTATTCTGGAACAGTTTTTGCCGGACAAGTTCCGGATGAACGAGTTATCTTTGATTTAAACTTATCACCACCGGTGAATGAGCAGCGAGAAAATACTTTAAACCCTGCTTTCCATAACTCACAAGACGAGTGGTAAATTTTAATTTTCATTTGTGTTAATTATGTATATATTTGTTGTATTGAATTTGTCTTAACGCTCACATATTTAATAGGGGTTACCGGCCGGATATGAATTTTACAAGTGGCCCATCCGGTAGTCATCACCTAATTGATAACGTCCATCATGAAATTTTATCACATTACGACTTGTAAGTGAAGTGATTTACACAAAATATGAAAATTATTTATTAATTTAGTAGCTTATATTTTTGTTGGTTGTGCAGTGAAAACGAGCAAGTTGAACTCACTCAATTGCCCGAAAATGATGTATTACATCGGGACCTAGCAGATGCACAGAGTCAGGAACAGAACAGTGATTACGATAACAATGCGGATGAATCCGGGGATGAGACACCCTTTGCTCGTGAGGATGGTGATGCAGAGGATGAGGAGGAAGGACCTGATTTGAAGAGAGACCCCCCTAGACGAAGAGTGTATGAGTCCGAAGTGCCGTTTCATTCAAGAGAGATTCCTTACATTGATAACTTGCCAACCGTGCCGGATGTAGAAGCTCTCACAAGGGATTTTGATGAAATCCGGACAGCAATGTGGGATGAGTCTAGACCAATGGTACTTGCAAAGGGGATGCTTTTTCCTGATAAAGCGCGCCTAAGCAGGGCTTGTAAAATGCACAACGTAAAAGAGTGACATGAGATGCAGGTATGGGAGTCAAGTCCGACGGTATACAAGGTTGTTTGCCGCAGGTGGTTTTGGCCATGTAATTGGATGTTGCGTGCGACCAAGAAGAAGACAGGTATGTGGAAAGTGGGTAAATACATTCCCACCCACACATGCGAAATGGACACATTCAACGGGAATCACTTCAACTTGGATATTGACTTGATTTCTCTTGTTCTTATTCCACAGATCGAACAGTCCATAAGGTATAAAATCAAAGAGTGCATTACATCAGTCCAGCAGGAACATGGCCATACCATTACTAAAAGAAAGGCATTTCTCGGGCGCAAACGAGCGTTTGAAATAGTGTATGGTAACTGGGATAAGTCATTTGCAGATCTGCCTAGGTACATGGCTGCACTACAGCATTTTAACCCCGGGACGGTTGTTGAGTGGAAGCTTGAGCGAAGTGCAGGTAAACCAGAATATATATTCAATTACGTGTTCTGGGCGTTTAAACCAGCAATTGATGGTTTTTCGCATTGTCGCCCCGTAATATCCATAGACGGCACTCATGTCTATGGAAAGTACGATATCAAGCTGTTAATAGCCGTGGCAGTAGATGCTAATGGACAGATATTTCCTCTAGCTTTTGCTATTTGTGCCAATGAAAGCCAAGAGACGTGGACGTTGTTTTTGAACCATATGAAAGAGCACGTTGTGAAATAACGTTCCGGTATCTGTCTAATATCTGATCGGCACGGTGGTATCTTAAGTTCTGTGGAGAACTTGCCTGCATGGCAAGAACCTTATGCCTACCATCGTTACTGTGTTAGGCATTTGAAAGCCAATTTCCAGAAGCCCACAAGCAACATGACCCTGAAAAGTGGACTTTGCATGCGGATGGTAGCAGACGATGGGGAACTCTGACTACAAATGTGTCAGAGTCTTTCAACGGGTTATTGAAGTCGGCAAGAGGATTGCCTGTCACAGCCATGGTGCGGATGTCGTTCAAGCAAATGGCGGAGAGGTTCGTTGAAAGGTCTGCGGCTGCAACGTCATTGATGGAAAGGGGTGTTGAATTTATGCCAGTGCCGATGACGAGATTCTAGAAATACAGACGACGAGCACATTGGCATTCATTTTTGCAGTATGATAATGAAAGAAATGTTTTTGAAGTTCGCACCGCTATCCATCAAAATCGGGGTAATAATGTGCATACTGTAAATGAATCTGCAAGGTTATGCTCTTGTGGAAAATGGTCCATCTACCACATGCCTTGCTCACATGCCATCAAGTGCTTTCAACAAGTTGGTTTAGGTGCAACCAACTATGTTGATCGACAATATAGTGTTTCGAAGTACCTAAACACATATAGTGGTCAGTTGCAGCCACTGGGTGCTGAGCATTATTGGCCTCCTGAACCATTTAAAATGGTGTGTAACAAGTCCTATTTGCGTAAAATACAGGTGCAGAAGAGAACGCGTATACGGAACCAAATGGATGTTAGTGATACAGTTTATGCGCGAAAATGTGGTATATGCTCGCAAACAGGACACGACCGTAGAAAATGTCCTTTGGGTGGCAACAATAATCAAGCTTGGGGTGGGTGTTCTTCTAGTGTACCTAACTACCCATGAGTTGATGTTGTAATAATTAGTTAATATGTGTATGTTGCCTGATTTATGAAATAAAATTATGCTTGTAATAAAATAATTTTTTTCCAAGTCCAGTACATTACCAAGTCTAGTACATTACCACTCTTCTATATATAAGAGGGACAGAAGCCCTCCAAATATATCGGCCGAACGTACAATACGCTGGCACCTATCACCTCCTCGCTGTACGGCGTCCAGATGAACTATCAAATAACAACACAAACCGTTAGTATGCGCAACACTAAATTAAACAATAACTGGTACGTTTAGTTAGATATACACCTGTGCGTCCTCCAGCAAATCCAAGACATCCCTGATGCGGGGGAGATTATGATGGGCATCATACTCTCGTTCAAGTCTACGACGCATAACCCACCTACAAGCTAGAGGGAGATTCGGAATGTCTACATTAGCCGGTAGCTGTGGTAGAGGTGGCCGAAGCTGCAGAAATCGCTCATAGACCCAAACCTAACATAGAAAGTTGATGTATAGTGTCAGATAAACTATAACTACGTAGAATTGTAACTAACGGACATATTCGTTGAATATGTTGTCACCTGTAGAAGCGGCAGGAAGCCACAAACGTCTCTCTGTGTGCCCATGGAAGCCCGACACATCTGCCTGTACAAAAATGAGAGGACAACACCACCCCAGCTGTAGCTGGCCGTATCCTCGAACCGGGTGATATGATGCAGAAAACGGAGGCTCATTAGGTTCCCCGAAGTGTTCGGGAACAAGACCCCCCCAAATAGAAGGAGCAGCAACAGCCTCGTGTATCGCTGCACATCCACCTCCGCTGACTCGTCGGTGATAGTATCGTGGAGCTGCACCAGGTGGTCTCTAATGGGGACTTAATTGTACAAATTACTTACGTATGGGTTCCGGGCTCCACATTTTGAGGCCCAGTGGCACCAAATTATCATTAATAATTATGTATTTTCTTATAATTTAAATTCATATTTTTAATAACTTAATTGTACAAATTACTTACGTATGGGTTCCGGGCTCGATATTTTGAGGCCCAGTGGCACCAAATTATCATTAATAATTATGTATTTTTTTACAATTTAAATTCATATTTTTTAATAACTTAATTGTACAAATTACTTACGTATGGGTTCCGGGCTCGATATTTTGAGGCCCAGTGGCACCAAATTATCATTAATAATTATGTATTTTTTTTATAATTTAAATTCATATTTTTTAATAACTTAATTGTACAAATTACTTACGTATGGATTCCGGGCTCGATATTTTGAGGATCGAAATACCAGTAATAGATACTAAAACAAAAGGAATTCTAAGCTAAAATACTACACATTACTACGCTACAAGGCTCTAAATTTTACTACGCTAAAAGGGTCTACGTTTTACTACGCTAAAAAGGTCTAGATTTTACTACGCTAAAAAATAATCTAAACTAAACATAAATAACAAATAAATTTAATTGCAAATAAAACACAAAACGGCATGAAAGCACATATATATAAATGAGAATATTAACAGACAAATTTATTTGACAAATTTATATTTTTATATAAAACAGTAAAATTAAATCCGGATAAATTTAAGATGCTAATTTCGAAAATAAAACCACCAACCGAAATAGAACACATTCAAATCAAATAATATGCATTATTATAAAAGTTTCAACTTAAAATAAATCGAAATACCTCGATTTAGAATTTTCGGAAAGCAAATAGATCGAAAATTTGACTCCGAAAGCGTGAATCAACAATAACAAGAAGCTGTACTGGAGTGTGGGACCTACGTTCTTCAAGTTTTATGTGCCGGGGGGACCCAAAATCTTTTTTTTTTTTTAGTGGCGGACGGAGGGGGGACCAATTTTAGGAAGGGGGATTAGAATAATGGAGGAAGAAGACGGGGGAAGAAGAAGATGGAGGGTTTTTTGGGGAGGGATATAACGCCACTATTTCTGGCGCTATATCACTGTCAGTGTATAACACCAGAAATAGTGGCGCTATATCACTCTGACAGTGTATAACGCCAGAAATAGTGGCGCTATACATAAACTGTCTAGTTACCGTTTATATATAGCGCCACTATTTCTGGCGCTATATATATTTTTGTTACCTTTTTTTTTACACCTATTTATGTGTTTTTAGTCCAAAATAACAACATTTTGGTTTCGGACTCCTGTTTGCAGTTTGCATTTAGTACCCCTCGTTCCAATTTATGTGAATTTGTTTGATTGGGCACGAGTTTAAAAAAATGAAGACTTTTGGATTTTGTGGTCATAACAAATCAAAAAGGGGACCTAGAGTATTTGTGTGAT